CAATTTTAATTAATCAATTTTAGATTAACCAATTTTAATTAATTAGTTTTAAATTGTAATATATTTTATTCCTTATATTGTTCAAAAAAATACGTAATTAGAATATATATATAAAAAAAAGAGTAAAATGAACTGCCCACTAATTCCGCGAGGTACAAAAATCAAATGAAATGATAGCTAACAATACCTAGTATATTCTTTGTGAAAGAAAGCAATGGCCGGTGTAAAGCAGAAAAGGGAAAAAATCCGAAACACAGACCCCTAAATTCCAGCTAAAGAAAAGAAAAAAGAATGGTTTAATACATAAATAACCATTTTGTCCCTCACTACCAAGCTCAGGAGGGAAGTTACAGAGGGAAATTGAAGGGTAAAAAAGTGATTTTAAATATGGAAGATGATCCTAGGACAGAGGATTTAGGGTAAAAAGACCGCAATACCCCCAAAACAGACCTGAAACGGCAAACACAGTATTTGAGCCACTTTCGAGATCAAATGGTAATTACAATGTGAAATTTCGAGATCAAATGGTTAGAAATTGACCGCGGTTGAATGATTTTTACTCGCATTTTTAACGATCCTTCGGTTAAGTCCGGATTCCTATAGAGAGAGAAAAAGGAACGCAGAAACGAAATAGAAAGGGAGAGACTCGTGAGCTCTGCTGCAATTGCTTTTTCTGCAGAACTCTGCCCATCCCTGCAGAACGCTGGCGATGCATGTGCTAGTGTCCTCCGGTTACCGCCCCTCGTGAAGAGAGTTTGTCTTTTACTTCCCTGCAACTCTGGCGATGCATTTGCTAGTGTCCTCCGGTTACCGCCCCTGCAGAACTCTGGCGATGCATTTGCTAGTGTCCTCCGGTTACCGCCCCTGCAGAACTCTGGCGATGCATTTGCTAGTGTCCTCCGGTTACCGCCCTCGGGAAGAGAGTTTGTCGTTTACTTCCCTGCAGAACTCTGGCGATGCATTTGTTAGTGTCCTCCGGTTACCGCCCCTCGGGAAGAGAGTTTGTCGTTTACTTCCCTGCAGAACTCTGGCGATGCATTTGCTAGTGTCCTCCGGTTACCGCCCCTCGGGAAGAGAGTTT